TGACAACTACAACCAAAAAATAACTTGGCTCTGTGTCAGGCCCCTGTAGTCTCAGCTACTTCAGAGGCTGAGGCAGGAGAATCTCTTAAGCCCAAGAATTTGAGGTTGCTGTGAGCTATGACGCCAGAGCACTCTAGTGAGGGCAACATAGTGAGATTCTGTCTCAAAGAAAAAGAAAAGAAAAAACTTATATATATAACGCTTCTTACTCTGATCCTCAGTAATCACAACCTGCTGATTATAATTAATCCTACTACCTAGACTTACCTACAAGGAGAGTACACACTTCACACAGCAAAGTACTGAAAATTAATCCAACTAAACACACGCATTTCTGAGTTTCCCAGGCTAAAAGAAGTGGTTACCAGTAGATGATCCTCCAAGGCAATTCCACCTTGCAAGACCCAGGCAGCTATCAGTTATCCTCTCACTCACTCTGCTCTTTAATTACAACAGTCTGTAGCAATGCTTTTGTTTGCATATTTCACAAGGGAAGGACAAAAACTCTCTCAAATCAGTAAAGTATAAATAACTAGCCAAAGAGACAACACTAAAGTACATTCAGAAAAGGATACTGTTTCATGACTTCTTTATACTTCACAGTGTCACGAATATCTGAGTGAAAAAAAAAAGAACATCAAATAAAATTTAACACATACACCTTTAATTGCCTACTGGTGACAAAGGCAAGTGCAGAATGATTTTTAAAAAGGAATTAATCTGTCCAGTAATAGCTACCTAAACCTATCCACCAATCTGTAGACTTCTCCCATCAACTATTAAAATTATATCCTTTAAGTGAGAAAATGTGAAACTGTTCCCAAATTATTCCCTAAATGATCCCGCCTTCTTAATACAAGATCTTTGTTTTACTCGTATTTCTGGAATATCAGAAACTCATTAGGATTAAGAAGAAACAAGGAGGAAGAGGATTAACGCATAGTGACAGCCTAGAAATCAGGAAGCCTAAATCCTTATCAAGAATCATGATGCTGGATCATATCCATTCTTAATCTTTTATATAGTCACAGACTAATTCTTAAAATCTGATGAAAATTGGAAACCTCTCATCAGAACAATGCATATATGCATTATACACACATTTTCTCATGTAACTGGGAGTGGAAGTAAGGCTCCTATATATCAATGAGTGAACTACAGCACAAGAATCCTTACACATTGACTAACTCTGAGAAAAGAAACTAAATGAAAAAGTTTATGTATCAGAGTTTGCTGAAAAGTTTATGGCCTAGAAGGAGTTTCTGTCACTTCACTTTCCCAAATAACAACAGCCTGACACATTAGGGTCAGAAAGAGAAGGGACATAAAGGTGAATGAGAAAGAAAGAAATTTAGGAAAGAGGAAGGAATAGAGAGAATATGAATGAGTTGTCTGTTTAGGGACTCAAGCAAATCCAAGGGAAAACAAAGTAGGAAAAAAATGCAAAATGAACACACTAAAAATTGGTAAGCTGGGGGCTTTACATTCTCTTTGAAGCACTTCATATAAATTATGGTTTACTCACCAATATTGGCAGGAAAGGGAACTTCATGTACAGCTGGGTCCAGGTTGATCACATAAGGAGTAGTGCTTTGGCTATGCAGGTGTCCCGTGAGCCTCTGCAAAGATAGGGGGGAAAGAGTTGGAAAGACTCAAAGACCGGTTAAGAGAACAAGAAGGAATTTCCATTCCATTATCGACCATCCTAAAGACTTCACACTTAGATTTCCTTCTACCTGAAATATCCACCACCCCCATGTCCTGCAACATTCAGTTCTCAGTCCACCATTTCACAGATCCGCCCCTACTCTTGACTACTCCTTTACTTGTTTGTGTGTTCCTATGTGTTTTTTCTTTCTTCTCCACTAATTTATTTAGCTCCACGAATGTGAGAACCTCATTAACCTCACACTCGTTGTATCTCAGTGCCTGGGAAACGGTAGGCATGCAAGAAATAATTATTTGGCAAATCTTCCAAAACCTGTGTTCTAGTACCGTATAAATCTCTAGAGTTCATTGAAAGCCCCTGCCTCCAAGAAGCTGACACAACTTTATCAGCAAGATAATCCCTGAACAACGTGGTAAGCTGTACGAAGTATGCACTGAAGGGGAGAGCCTTAACCTAGCGAGGGTCCGAGGATTCGCCGGTGAGGGAACTGGAGCGAAGGGAAGTCCGCGAAACCCACGCACCGGTACCCTCCAACTCCCCAAAGAGACCCCCCCTCCCTTTCTCCCTGGCCCTCCAGCAGCCACAACTTATCACTCGCCCCTACTACGCCCGCCCCGTGTACATCACCTGGACAAAGGTGGTCTTCCCGGATCCTGCCATTCCCAATACCAAAAGGCACACTGGGGGTCGAAGACCCCCCGAAGCCCGCGGCTCAGCTTCAGCTGCGGGCGCCGCCATCTTTCTCCTGGCACCGCCCACCTACCATGGAGACGACGCCTGGCTAGAGATACTTCCGCGACGCTCTAGGCTGGGAATGAAAATGGAACCTGGTCGGCGGGCGAAAGAGTAGGCTGGTCTCCGGGGCATCTTCTTAGCGTGTGACCCAGATTTGGGACTAACCAGTGACGGTAGTGGAGAAGGAGGGGGTGCTGGGCTAGTGAGAGGAAGACTGGAGAGGGCAGGAAGAAGGGCTCTGACCCCAGTAGGGTAATTCATACTTAAACCCTGGTCCCCAGGAAGGCGAGATGAAATGAGATCCCAAGGGCAGGGCTCACACGGCAAGAAAACTGGGAGTGTTCCAAGACCGAGGAGCGGAGCCACTGGAAAATCGGCTAATAGGGGTTATTCGGTAGCCGAGGCACTCAGGGCTGGGACTGGGGCAAGGTGCCACCCCCAGAGTTGCTGGGCAGCCCCGAGACCCCTTGAGCACCGACCAGAGAAACTACGAGAACTGTCCACACTTGAACGCTGTTCCTCAGAGTCGCAGACCTCTAACGCTAACCCTCATTTCTTGGCAATCACCCCCAGGGAACTAGACAGTCGCCTAGACGTTGGGGATGAACGCTTGGATTCCAGGTGCAGGTAAGTACCAGGTGCAGGAAGAGTTTGTTTCCATCTCACTTCTCACTTCAGAGCTCTCACAAACTAGAGGAAGATGATGACAGTCGAGAAAACTGTACCTACTTTCCAACACCCAGTCTGTTTCTATGGCCCCTTGTAGCCGCTACAGTGTTCCCGTGTCATAAAATCTGGGTTTCATACCCAGGGTCTGGCACTTGCTAGCGGCGTTAAATTGTAGGCAAGTCACTTAAACTCTCTGAACCGGTTCCCTCTCTCTCTTTTTTCTTAATTGAAATAGTACCTCAAAGGGTTGTAGTGAATGCTTATAGTAATTTCGCCCCCCCCCCGACCCCCCGAGTTAAGAGTCTCATTCTGTTGTGGGATCAGAGTGCCATGGCCATAACCTAGCTCACAGCAGCCTCAAACTCAAGCAATCATCTTGCCTCAGCCTCCCTAGTAGTTGGTACTACAGGCGGCGGGTGCCCACTAATTCTGATTTTTGTTTTTAGTAGAGACTAGGTCTCTCCTTGCTAAGTGATCCTCCTGCCTTGGCCTCCCAGAGTGCTAGGATTTGTCATGAACCACACCGTGCCCAGCGACATATTGTAAATTGTAAGCTTACACACCCTATCTTTACGGTGAGCTGTATTCCCCCACACCTTGCCGGGCGTCTAGCATATGGGTGCTCAAAAATATTTTCTCATGAATACAGGACAATTGTGTATTTTTTATTCTCTAAATTTCCCTTAAAAACTAATAAAGGAATGTCTCATTTGTTCTTCCTTCAGGTTTGCTGAGCGCCTTATAAGTCCCCCTCCACCATATCATAGTCTAATAAATAATTTTTTTGAGCCACAGAACCTAATAAAGGTGAAGAACTTTAAAGAAAAGACATTGGTGGAAATGGGGACGCTGAACAAACAAATAAAACAGGCTCAAATCCAGCAGAAACTGCTGCAGGATGACAATGAGCAGCTATACACTGAAAAGTTACTTGTCCAGGCTGAAAACAAGTTGTATCTGGAATACCTGAATAACAAAACTGAGTACTATAGAAAAGTAGATGAGAAGCTGTGGAATACCTATTTACAAAAATGTGGAAAGATTCAACAAAGAAGAGAAGCAGCAGCCTCCAGATATGAACAACAAACTTCAAGGCTTAAAACAGAGCTCTTGGAAAAGGAAAAGATTCAATCACATTTGAAGCAGCAATTACAGGACATGAGGGACATTTCTATGTTAAAAGAGATGCAGGAGCTAGAAATACAGACATTACAGGAGAAGGAGAGAAATGTCCAAGCTGAAATAGTTGCAGAGAAACGGGAAGTACAGGTCCAGTTAGCTGAGGAATTCTTTTTCTTCGGGAAACAACTGAGTGAGCTAGACTTAAGGCAGTTAGGAAAGAGAAAATCGAAGCATAAGAGTAAGACTCAAGCCTTGGAGTTGGCAGCAAAGGAATCTTTTTTTGAGTTCTCTAGTGGCCTCATCAGAGAGAACCAGCAGTTACAGAAGAAATTGCTGCAGCTAATCCGTCAATCTTTGATGTTGGAGGCTTCTCAAAGCCACTTAAAAAGTTGGAAGCAGCAGCTGCAGCAGGAACAGTGGTATCTGGAGTACTTAACCCGCGGGAGGCAGCAACTGCAAGGAAGGCATAATTGGTGCCTAAAAGAACAGGATGCTCCACAGACTGCAACTAGCCCTCCCCTAGGCACTAAGACAAGGATTGATTCACAGTAATTCCTAAAATAACATTGATTAAGTAAAAAGTGGAACATTTTTCTTAGTTACTACTTAAATTAAGCTGGTTAGGAAGGCTTTTGGATTGCAGATTGCTTCTGTAAAATATTCATCCTGATGAGTTCCTGTAAGAGATTAGATGGACTTTTTTCCATCAGTCCTTCTAGATATTTGTGTAACTAGCTTCACTTAAGTAGCTTTTTCTTTAATTAGCCCTCGTTAATAAGACGTTCCAGACTTTAGTTAACCTAACATGTGACCCTAATACCTACCTATTTCCCAAACACCCATATACATCAAACTAGCTCAAGAAAACCAACTTGAGAAGTGAAACAGTTGTGATTAATCATTTAGTTAAATTAGATTTCTCTATAGACGAAGTACCTTTAAGGATAGCATTTCAGATTGTTAGTGCTTTCTGGTCAGTTAACAGCCATTATCAGTTTATCCTCATTCCTTTTGGCCAACTGAGCAATCAAAAGTAAAATGTTTAGAAGCACTTTTTAAAGTTTATGGCAGTGACCAGATAGCCCCTTCTATAGTTTTCTCACAGGTGAAAAAGTACTTTGGTAACACACAGTTTAGTCATCTGATACTAAGAGCCTACAGTTTTAGCTTTGACTATATTGAAAAGGTAAACGAAGATGAAGGATACATGTACCAGGTCAATTCTTACTTTTGAAAATGTTTTCTTTTACCAAATAACACTAGCACTACTGAGATGATGGATTGCCCTTTCTCATTTCAGAAAAATGTACCAGAAGAGAATTCTAAAATATTTGGGCAACTTTTTGGAGAGTCTTGTGCCATTAATTTCTCTAGCAGCATTCTAAATTCTTTTCTTTCTTCTTTTTTTTTTTTTTTGTGGTTTTTGGCCAGGGCCGGGTTTGAACCCACCACCTCCGGCATATGGGGCCAGCTACAGGTGCTGCCCAGCAGTCTAAATTCTAAGATGACAAGTAAAATTATTTACCACTTAGTTGATAGTTTTAGATCACTTACTACATTTTTATATGTATACTTTGTAGCACTTTTGTAATTAATGTATGTCATGTATTATGCCCATTTAATAGAACTAGGAATATTTTAAATTAGTATACTGATTTGTAGGGTAGTTGTATTTTTTTGCATTCATGACATTGAGTTTAGACCAGTGATTTACTCAAATGCTGAGTCCTAGGATATAATCCCATATTTTAATTGCAAAAGTTAATTATACTTTAACTTTGTTTTTCAGAAATTAATGAACTTCAAAATAATTTTCCTCAATTTTCAACTTTATATGTAAAGTGAATTCATTTAAAATTAGATTTAAAAAGGATTCCCCTTAATGTGCCTTTACCTTACAACTTTAACAATTTTTATGTTAAATATTTTATGTAGTTCCTTAGTTATTAAACAAATTTTATTAAAAATACATACTCAAGTAGTTATTTTGGCCTGAAAAAAATAAATAAGAACATGATTTATCCATTGATCCTATTAATGCTCTGATATAATGAATTTTTCCTCACCTCACTCTTCGTCTTATCACTCCTGTAAGTCTTATTCATACAAGTGTGCAAATAATGATCTAGTTTTAATGCAGAAGTTAGTGTTTTAGATAGCATATAGGTAGCTTAACCTAAATACCTCAATTCATAAACTGAAAACACAGACTCAACTCGGAAAGCATGGTATTCAAGACAGATTGAAAGTCCTGCTCTCTGTGAATGTAAAAGCTCTAGGGGAAAATATACCTAAGGCTGATAAGAGTCCAGAAGGTAGAAAAGATTACTTAGACTCTGACTCTTCTGCTATTGCCCTTCTGCCATTGCTGTCTTGTCTAATTCAAGTGGGGTAACTTTCAAATGATCTGTTTTTCACTTGCTGTCATCACAGATAATGGATGTGGTGTACATTGCTTATGGCTGTCCCTTTCCAAGTGAGGGCTCAAAGACATTAAAGGGTGAAATATACCTGACAAGGTACTTGGAAATCATCCATACCTCCAAGCAAGCATTACGTTAGCCAACTAAGATCTCAATCTAATTTTTGTCTGCTTTGTTACTAAGAATATTAAGCAGAGTTGTTGTAGGAAGTGAAGTTAAATGGAAAAGACTTCTGAGGTGAAATTTAAGACGTGAATGATAAAATGAAGCCAACAGTACAAAAATTGAGGAAGACGACCATTCAAGGTAGAGGCAACAGTGAATGCAAAGGCCTTAAGATAGGAATAGATTCAAGAAACAGAAACATACATGTAGCTGAACTATACTTGGGGACTGGGGAGAGAACAGGTGGAGAAGATGGTGAGGTCAGTAAGGTTGGCAGAAATGTGAGCACAGAGGCCTTATAGGCTTTTAGAAGGTGAATGAGGTCTGACTTACAATTTAAAATCACTACAGCTGTTACATGGAGCATGTCCAACCAAGCCAGAAAAAAAGTAGGAAATCAAATTAAGAAGCTATTATAGTCCAGGCAGGAGGTGATGATGGTTTGAATTGGGTGGCAGAAGTACAAACAGATTAGAGATTTATTTGGTAGTAGGCAAGACCTATTAACTAATCTGCTGTGATGAGAAAAGAATTAACTACATTTTGGCATCTGGATGCACAGCGGCATGTCTGCTCACGTGGGAAGGAAGTATAGGACGAGTGAGGGAAAATCAAAGGTTAAGATGAAGTGAAATTTCTAGTCTTACCTTTTTTTAGGTTTTTTTTTAAACTCTTCTGTTTTAAGAAGGTGAGTAGAATGTTTTTGTGTTTTTTAAAAAATATTTAAGACAAAAAATATAGACAGCTACAACAAATCCACCTTAGTCAACAAATTCAGTTGAAACCCACTGAATCTCAGAAACACTATCCTAAATTTGGTGTTTATTATCCTTTGCATTTGTTTTTTTTTTTGAGACCAAGAGTCTCGCTATGTTACTCTTGTAGAGTGCCATGCTGTCATAGCTCACAGCAACCTCAAACTCTTGGGCTCAAGAGATTCTCTTGCCTCAGGCTCCCAAGTAGCTGGGACTACAGGTGCAATGGCCTGGCTATTTTTAGAGACGAGGTCTTGCTCTGGCTCCCTGGTCTTGAACTCCTGAGCTCAAGCAATCCACCCACCTTGGCCTCCCAAGTGCTGGGATTGCAGATGTGAGCCATGGTGCCTGGCCCTGTTTTTATATTTCTACAGGCAAATTCGTAAACATATCCACAGACACAACTGTTTTTTGCATGTTTTATAAACCTTACATAAGTAGCATATGTGATGTATTCTGTAATTTGCTTTCTCAGAAATTATTTTTGACATATTCATGAGATGATGCAAGAACCCCTAGCTAATTGTACAGCTTATGTAGTATTCTACTGTCTGACTTTATCACAATTTACCCATTCTCCCGATGATGGACAATTAGGTTATATATTAGAGCAGGCATCCTCAAACTGCGGCCCACCTAGGACATTTATCCAGCCCGCCGGGTGTTTCTGCCGCCGCTGCCTGTCCTGCTTAGCAGCCAACTCGTCCCAGGGCCCGCAGTCCGGCCCTCCAACTGTCTGGGGGACAGTGAACTGGCCCTGTTTAAAAAGTTTGAGGACCCCTGTATTAGAGTAAGATAACAGAGACCCAATAATGTATAACATCTCAACAGACATTTGCTGCTTATTCACATTAATTTCAGATATTCCTGGTTGGCAAGTTGGCTCTCCTTCATGGGGTCAATTCAGAAAGTCAACTATCTTCCATTTTGTGCTTTCCCATTACATAGTGCCCCATCATCTGTATCTAGCAAGATGCAGGGATTTTAAGCATGGAGCTATACTCACTCTCTAAGAAGTTCCAACCTGGAAATGATACACATCACTTCTACTCACATTCCCTGGGAGAAAAGTGAGCTTCTACCTCTTGCCCTATGGAGATGAGGGCAGGAAGAGAGGACAAGTGGAATAGGTAGTATAACCATTTGTCCTACAATCCTATAACTTTCAAAGGTGAAAGCAGATTTTGGTGGACAGCTACCAGTCTCTCATATACATTTCCAGTACCTCCGTTGTAAACTATACTGGGATAATCATTCTGTATGTCTCTTAGTACATCTAGCCAATGGGAGTTTCTAGGAGTGTAACTGCTGAGTCTTAAGGTATATACCATGTATCTTCAACTTTACTAGATATGCAAAATCATTTTCAAAGTGATTATACCAATTTATACTCCAAACCATGTATTAAACTTCTAGATATCTCTGATATTATCCAACTTGTGAAGATAGTCTATACTGCATTCTGCTGATCTTTGGCCTCAGTAAGGAAAAAGAAAAGGAATGCCTACAAGGGCCTTGGATGAGCCTGAGCAAGCTTCCTACAGTGATTCATTTTAAATTCAAAATTACTTATTTTAACCATCTGATCACAGGAGCTAACGAACTACTAAGAACAACTACATTTGTAACTTCTTTTTCTATTTTGAGACAGAGTCTCCTTCTGTTGCCCTGGGTAGAGAGCCATGGCATCATAGTTCACAACAACCTCAAAGTCTTGGTTTAAGTGATCCTCCTACTTCAGCCTCCCAAGTAGCTGAGACTACAGGTGCCTGCCACCACATCTGACTAATTTTTCTATTTTTAGTACAGATGGGGTCTCACTCTTGCTCAGGCTGGTCTTGAACTCCTGAGCTCAAGGAATCCTACCTCAGCCTCATAGTGCTAGGATTATATGCATGAGCCACTGTGCCCAGCCTGGAACTCATCCCCAATTCTAGCTATCTTTTTACCCCATACAGTGTCAGTGAAGAGTCATGCAGCAGGTCGAAAGTCAAAGAACAACTGGAAACATCATTCTAACTGAGAGTCATTTATTTCTTTTGTCATTGCCGAACATTCCCCAGGTCTTACTCACCAGAAATTAACATAGCTTCTTCCGTTTCTCCTCCCTAACAACCCTCATCTATTGGAAGGGCTTTAAGGGTGCACTCCCAATGAAAATGCAGAGTGGATATGCCAAGTCCTTTGCTACCTATCCTGGCAGTATCCAATTCAGGTTTCAGTGCTCCCTTGTTTGAAAGTGGTCTTCACAATAGCCCGCATTTTAAAGCTATTTGGAGGAGAACAGAGAAAAGAGAATTAAAGAGTGGTAATAGCCTTTCAGAATTTGAAAAGGTAGTATTTGTCCATTTTAGAGTTAATTTTTTGTATGGCATATGCCACGAAAAAGACAAGAATATATAAGACCAATATTTATGGAAAAGGGGGAAAGGAATCCAGAAACACGACAACAAAGCTGCTCTAACCAATCCTCCAGAGAAAGCCACCCTCAAAGAGAAACAGCTCCATTACACATTACCAGGTAGGCATGAGGTACAGAAAAGGAATTTTTCTTTCCAGCTCCAGATAAGTATCTACACCTGGTGTCAAGGTCTCAGGATATAAAGAGGATAGAACTCCATATATAAAAGATAGAAGAACAACATTCTCAGAAAA